CATGATATGATATGTGGATATGGTAAATCAATAGGGTGTTAACTTCATGAGTTAGCATCATACTTTTGATTGATTAATTATGATTTGGGCGAACATAAAGAATTTGTTAGGGTTAGCTTCAAAAGTTGATGCTTGTATTCATATCAAATTGAATATGATATGTGATGTATGTGATGTATGTGATGAACCGATCAAGGTTAGCTCTAGGAGCTAACATTGTATTTATATATGACTTGATGTGACACTAAGACTTTGTGTTTTAAGGCTACGAGTCATTAGAAACTTGCCAACTCTTTATGTTTATGAGTTGTTGTCATTAGGGACTCACCAAGCTTTATGGTTTAGGGCTAAAGTTGTTAGAAACTCACCAAGACTTTATGTTTTAGGGCTACGGTAGTTAAGGAATTTCCAAGACTTTATGCTTTAGAGTTATAGTGGTTAGGGACTCATTAAATCTTTGAGTTTATGGGTTGTAGTCATGAGAGACTTATCAAGATTTTATGTTTTAGGACTATAGTGGTTAGAGACTTGCCAAATCTTTGAGTTTATAGGCTATAGTGGTTAGGGACTTGCCAAGACTTTATGTTTTAGGGTTGCATTCATTAGTGACTTATAAAATCTTCATGTTTAGGACTACAATCATTAGGAAATTATTAAGACTTTGTGTTTTAGGATTGCGAGTTATTAGGGATCGGCCAAATGTTCATGTTTATGGGCTATATTCATTTTGGCCAAATCTTTAGGTTTATGGGATGCGGTCATCGGAGACTCGTTAGATCTTGTGTTTTTGGGTTATAGTTGTTAGAAAATCACTAAATATTTGTGTTTATGGGTTGCAATCATTAGGAATTTGCTAAATTTTTATGTTTATGAGCTACTACTGCTAGGGGCTCGTCATTTCTTAAACATGTTTTTCCTTCGACTTAGATTATGAAAGTAGGATTTTGACTAGCCTATATCTCCATTTACTTGCCAAAACATTATGTCCTACAAGTTACAACCATTAAGGACTCACCATTGCTTGAACATTTTCCTTTCTTTACTCCAAATCCATGACTATGGATTGTAGTCATTAGAGGCTTACCATTTTTTAAACACTTTCTCGCCTTTCATCTCAAAGTATGGAAATAGGCCTTTGATTGACCTACCTCTTAAAATCACTCAACTCGTCCTAATAAAATGTATTCACTCAAATAGGCATAGACTTATAATATGTTAAAATCGTATTTTTTTTTGTTTCCATATATAAGCAATGCGACTTACCTTAAGTAGGATGTGGTGATGATGATCTCGATCTTTCCCACTCATAACCAACCCATCATCTAGATATTTGTATAGAAATTTTTCTTTTTTGGATTTCCTAGTTTCCTTGATGCTACATGGCAACTTTATTTCTTAATTTCCTATCTTTCCCAAAAAGAGCAATTCTCGCTCGACGAAAACGAATCCGACATCGCGACCCCATCCGTGATAGTAAGGATCAAACAAAGTTTTAAATTTGGATTTTTTTAAAAAATATGCAAATGAAAAGTCGCTTGAAGCCATTCTTTCTTTTGGCCCTTAAGATCCTTAAGATCTTGATACCGCTTATTGGTTTTTAAACAATAACAAAGAAACAAAGAAAATAAAGAGTAGAAAATTTAGATCTAAAATTCTATAATTTGTTCCTTCATTCATCTACACTCTATTTTAGATATAAGAGCGAGACTTATAAATGGAGAAGTAGCTAAACTACTAGAGAGTTCTAACAAAAAATCTCCACCTAATCCCATTAACTTGCTTCTAGAGACTTCTACCATAACTTAGGAACTAGGACATCATTTAGTGTAATAAATCTTATATATATATATATATATATATACACAAAGTATCACCTTTCTAACAAATGGCAATGGGGAAAGTGTGTGGCCTTGTGATCGGAGCGAAAAGAGGGCAAAATCATGTTCTTTGTTGGTCGGTTTAGTGGTTATGATATGGTGGAGGAGAGAGAGAGAGAGAGAGAGAGAGAGGAGATAAAGGAGAATCTTGGCCATTGATTCGAAGATCTTGAAATTTTTGGGTTCCATTTTTCTTGAGAGAGAGAGAGAGAGAGAGTTCGGTTGAGGTGGTTGAGATTTTTGTTAGTTTTGGCGAGGCTTTTGAAGTTCTTGAATGAGAGAGGGTGAAGATTCTATGTGGAAGGTTTATATTTGGGATGTGAATTGATTTCTTGCCATTGGATTGTGGATGGAAACTTTCGATGTGTGGTTGAGATCTAATGAGAGGAATATTTAGATGGGCTAGGATTGCAACCTTCAAATAGCAAGTGGAGGATTGGGCTTGTATTTTATGGCATTGGAAAAGACCATAGCGCATTATTTTTATTCATAAAAACATTTTAGGATCTAAAATCAATTAGATCCTTTGTTGGCAATGACTTTGCTTTTTATATTATTATCATGCAAGTTAGAATATGATATGAGAGATTATGAAAAACAAAATCATTAATATACAAGTTTTGATGTAAAAAGAATGTTATACGTCCAAACAAATCATATAAACCTTCCCATAAATTAATATGGATTTTATAAAAATAAAAAAGAAAAAGAAAAAAGGAACTCGTTATGGTAACAATAATTTAATTTCTTTTATGCAATTTATAATTTATCATTACATACACCATCTGTTTGTATGAAACTTTAGTGTAATAGATCATTTTTAATAGCTTCGAAAAGGTAGTTAGCTATCATTATTACATTCATCTTTTCTTTTTTCATAGTTTCTAATTTTGTACTTTTAGATTAGATTTTGCATAAATTAAGGTTAAATTCATTATTTCTTGAGTTAACTTTTTAATTTGACTAGTAATCCACATCTAATGCCACATAGAAGAGAAAGATGAGCTTTTTAAGATTAAAAATCAAACTCTTAACCTAATGAGTCATAAACATTTGTCTTACCACTCCATCAAGTCTTCGATGGTTCATAATTTATAATTTATCATTATATACATGAATTTTTTTTATGAAATTTTAATAACAATGAATATTTTTAGAACATGCATGTTATCCTTGAATTTCATTTCCATTTGTTTGAGCTTAATTATTAAATGGTAGCTAGATATCATTATTACAATCATCTTTCTTTTTTAACAATTAACAATTTATTATTAAGTACATGTTCTGATTGTATCAAATTCAAGTATAGTATATCATTTTTATTGACATGCAAGTTATTGTTCAGTATCGTTTTCAATTGTTCAAGGTCAATAATTCTTATTATCAATACCTTTCAATTGGTAGCTAGCTATCCTTATTACATTGAACCTTTATTTATTTTTATTTTTTTCACTAGCAAATAGAAAAGCAAAAGCATTTATTTTATTCCATAATAGTAATGCCATTACTTCTTTAGAACCTTGATTCCCCTCCATTGAGATTCCATGTAATTAGAGGGATTATCTTGTGTATAAACTCCAAATTTGAAGTAATGAGTGGAAGCCCCATTCCCATTTACTTGGTACACCAATGAACCATCAATGTAGACCTTGACTTTTGGGGCACCAACATCATGGATCACGTTGACTCTAAACCATCTATTATAGGTGTTTTGGACGATTGGAGTCTTGTAGTAAGATAACGCACCGTTGTAGACCCTAAGCACCATGGTTGTGGCAGCAGTAGTACCTCCAAAGATTTGCATTATGGACACACCAGTTGTGCCCGATGGCACGTATGCATATCCTTCAAATTGCCAGACACCAGAAGTGTAGTCATAGCCCTGTTGAACATAGATTGAAGAGTCATGCATTAGCCATTGGGCAAGTCGAGGAAAGTTACCAAAAATTAAAGAGAAATGTTCTTTTCAGTTGCAAGCTTTGTTTTATTGTTCATTATGGGAAAATTTTTATGTATTTTTTTTAGTTTCTACAGGGATTAAAGATTTTAATGGTATGGAATGCTTGCCATCCAAAAGCCTTAAAAGTGATCGATGCTTCTTCTTTAACCCTTCAAATTATTGGATTATAGAATCAGATTCAGCCAATACTATTTATTTGAACACAAATAGTTCATGACAGAAATTTTAGTTATTTGAACCTTGGAGGATTGATAGAGCGAACTATTAGTTTTCGTATAAGAGATATCGACCCTATAGAAAATTCTTTGGCTAATAAATCCTGAAAGCTTCAAAGTATTTTTAATTTGATTTTATATTTAAAATCTGTCTCTCTCGTGCGTATTTATAGAAGGAAAAAAAAAAAAAACTTTATAATTGATTTTCTAACAAAGTCGAATCTACACAATTCTAATAACTTTTTAACTTAGTTGTAACTTTTTTTAACCAACTACTTAATGGTATGTATTTATAATATTAATCTAATGGTCGACTTCATCAAAAATAAAAAAGAAAAAGACCCAATACCCCACTTATCATCCGCCCACACCTCTTGATGGCATGTGCAATATGACATTAGTAATACAGAAACGGTCAGCCAATTAACTATATTTTTAAAATCCTATGAGAAAATTTGTGCTTTCCATTGTTTCAAGAGAAAAAAAAAAAAAAAAAAAAAGCTGATAAAACAATCAAGGCATTTAATTTCAAACAAAAAATAAATTTTCTTGTCCAAAGTTTTTGAATATAATCACATAGTTTATGCATATTACTTACTCGAATGCGGACCTCAGTCCTGGGTTTAGTAGTGCTACCAGACATGAAAGGCTTGTCGGTAGAGTAAACCCACAGCTTGCGGATGCCATTTTGGAAGCTGTATCGGTCGCTTACTGATACATCATAGGGCTTCTGAATGACAAAGTTTGATGAACCCAATGAGAGGGAGGTGAAACCATCTGTGGGATCAGCAATGGCTTGGTATGGCAAGAGCTGAATAAGGCTAAGGGACATTAGAGCTAAGAAAATGGTGGAAGTCAATTTTGTGGAGTGAAATTGAAGAAGTAAGGAGGAGGTTTATGGGTTTTAGGCAATGTAGAATTAAGTGCAAAACTTGCATATAAATAGGGATGGGAGGAAAGATTGTTGAGAATGGAATAATGGGGTATGGCCCAAGGGGAATATGTTGTGATAAGATATCTTTTGGTCCACAATTATTTGGTCAATACCAATATGGAATATGGATTTTGTTTTTTTTTTTTTTTTTGGCAAGGACTATGGACTTTTTACTTATACAAGAATATGAAAAATAAGTATGCAAATGTAAGTTTGAAAGAGTTAGGTTGTACCGTTGTAGATTGCTTGTATGGAAGCTGGACTGTTTTTTTTTTTTTTTTTTTTTTCTTCTTATGATCATTACTAGATTGAAATTATTAAATTCAAAATCAATACTTTCACATATTAATTCTAGCTTCAAATTGCATCCACTTCCTTTTTTTTGTTGATTTTGTCATTAATTTGAAGAAAATATATATTGATTGTTCAATATATATTATTAAACGAAACTTTAAAAAAAAAAATAGAAGTGAAAATATTAAATGATGAATTTTTTCATCGAAAGATTAACGATAAATAAACTCACTTATAGTATAATTATACTTACCTTCGATTTAAGAAAATCCTCGAGACATTTTCTTTGTCAAAGTAATAAAAACATGATATTATGTAATTAAAAAAATAAAATCATTGGATTGAAAGTCGTGACTTTGGGTATAAATGTTAACGGCTTAAAAGAAGCTAAGCATTAAACTAAAACTTCTGACTTTATGGATGCATCGACAGCTTTTTCATTAATAATTTTTTTATTTCAAGCCCTAATTAATGAAATTCCCTCACTTATTTAAAGTTTAATTAAAAGTTTAGAAATGAGATTCATTTCACTTTGTCTTACTGATTCTGATGGAGTCGGTCCACTTACCAAACGTATATGAAGTGGACATTATAATTACAAAAACAAAGTCACAATTTGAAGAAAAAATTCGGTTTCAAACTTTTTATAAGGTCTTAGCCGCCTCTCTTCTTTTAATTTTTAGGACACAAAATAGGAGTTTTATTTACTATCATTTCACGGCTAAATTGTACAAACACGCCCTCAATTATATAGGTCATTTTGATTGAAGTTTCTTGCGTTGCTGTTGCTGTTGCTGTTGTTGTTGTTGTTATTATTATTATTATTATTATTATTTTATTTTAACCTTCAAATTATAGGGAGTTTTGATTGATACTTATGTCACATTCCATCCAATTTAACTGTTAAATATAATAAGCAAATCACGTGTTTTGCTTTTAAAAAAATAAAAATACCAAAATAGCAACAGATAATCAAATTAACCTAGGTTAATTTCTTGATGATAATTTTATCATATTGTAAATGATGTTTTTATTCTAATATTAATGGAGATTAACTTTTTAAACACTTTTTATTACCAAATTTTGATGATAGTTTGATATTTTATATAAGAAAATTTACACATGCAACATTCAAGTTATCCAATAAGAAAATAGATGAAATGTAACGGTAGATGTGTCAATCAAAACACCCTATATTTTAAAATAGATGGAATGTAAAGGTAGATGTATCAATTAAAGCACCCTATGGTTTACTGGTTGAAAATAAAAAATAAACAAACAAAATTTTTCAAGAGGAGTGAATTTGAAAAACCTATAGTTTAGAAAGTTGTTTGCATCGATTAACCTCATTTCATTGTTCTTTAGTCCTTACTTAATTGTTTTTTTCCCTTGTGCTTCGTGCTTGTTTGATTTTAGGCATTGGTTTGCAATTAAACAAAAGTTTGTTTTCTTTTACTTGTGGGCATATAGCCTAATAAAGAAGAAGGATTTACTTGTTTTTATAAAAACTGTTAAATTATGTGTCATTGATATATATATATATATATATATATATATATATATATATATATATATATATATATATATATATATATATATTTAAGGTAATCCTTTTAGATGCTTGTAAGAGAAAAAGAGAAATGTACGTTTTTCTCATAATCCCACTAACGTACATTTCTCTTTTTCTCTTACAAGCATCTAAAAGGATTACCTTAAATGGTATTCCTTTCATCTCCAAAATAAGGAAGATTTGATCTTAATTTTTAGGACAATAACCATTCTAACACTCGTCCTTGAGACTTTTGTTTAATAATCCAATTATTTTTGGATATAAGAACATACTTAATTTTATATAGAGAAGTAGTTAAGCTACTAGAGAGTTCCAACAAAAAATCTCCACCTAATCCCACTAACTTGCTTCTATAGACTAGTCCGTCTATATACACACACACACACACACACACACACACACACACACACACGAGAGAGAGAGAGAGAGAGAGAGAGAGAGAGAGAGAGAGAGAGAGAGAGAGAGAGAGTTTTCAAGTTTTTTAAGTGGATGAAAATAGTTGATTCGAAATATTCTAAAGTTTGAAAGACTAACGGCTCATATCATATTATTCACTCAATAAAGACAATTCTTGAACCAAATTATGCTTTACTCAATACGTCTTTCATGTTTTGATCAAAATTCAACAACATATTCATTTTCCCCTTTAGAATGATGACTTCAAACCTATTTGACCTTTATGTGATGTTAGGAGTATATCTTCATGGATTAAAAGGCGATGCCACGATCGATATTGCTAAACCAAAATACCAAGTGCTAGTAATAGAGTATGAGTTTGTCATAAAGTGTTTTTGACCTTCAAAAATTTCTTTGAAAAATTATTTATACAAAAATTGTAAAAAAAAAAAAAGGGGGGGGGGGGGTTGAAAAATGCATGTTACAAAATTTCTATCATTTTTCATAATTTTTAGGTATTTTATTTTTTTAAAACACGTTTGTCTTTTTATTCTTGATTTGTGGAAAAATAGCCAAAAAAAAAAAGTTGAAAAAGCTAAAAGAAAAACAAGAGAAAAAATTAGGACAAAGCTAAAAAGAGAAAAAAAGACATGAGGGCAAAGATGGAAAAAAATAAAAGAATGAGGACTGAAAAGGAAAAAAGAAGTAAAAAGAGAGATGCATGGGCAAAATTGAAAGAAAATAAAAGAAAAGAACCAAAATAGAAACATGAAAACAAAAAAAAGCAAGAAAGAAAAAAATAGATGCACATATGAAATTAAAATAATAAAAAGAATAAAGTCTAAAAAAAAGAAAAGAAAACCATTGATTGAGGGAAATAAAATAAAGGAAAAGAACAAAAATAGAAACAAGAAAACAGAAAAAACAAGAAAAAAATAGATGCGAGGATGGAATTGAAATAATAAAAGGAATAAAGTTTAATAAAAAGAAAAGAAAATAACTGATTGAGGGGTATAATCAAGAAAAACAGAATGACATTGTTATGCTCTTTATTGTACATTATTCATCTTCATTCCTTTATTTTTTATTCACAAAGTAGCTCTTAACACAATCCATCTCAAAACAAGCCAAAACAATCCATCTCAAAATGTATTTATACGACTTACACCTCTTCTTCAAATGAAACTAACTTATTTTGAATGGCAAAACCTCCTCCCTACATTACAAAAAATAGCTTCAAAGTACATTTTTAAACAAGCTAAAATTGTAAAAAATAATTTTTTTCTCTTTTCTTCTCTCTTACGCTTGCATTGATGACACAAACAACAATTCTTGACACACTAGGTTTAAAGAAGCTTTGAGTGATGAAAACAATTATTGAGGTTTTTTTAGATATATATAATTTTGAGGTATTTTTATAAATTTTCTTGATTTTAAAAGATATTGGTATTTTTATTCCTAATTTTTGAGAAAGTAGTCAAAAAAAGAGAAAATGAATAGAAAATTTTTCTCGAGACTTATATTGAAGATTATAGAATTTAAAGAAAATAGTGAGAGCGAACATAGATTTTATTTCTTTAATTTATTCTTTATTTTATGTAATTTAATTAACCAAATCGAATATTTTTCTATCCTATCGATTACATAGTATGACTCGTAATATATCAATACAATCAATTATTAATGAAAGTAATGCCTTCAATGACAAAATTTCTTGACTAGGAAATGAATTTGAGGATTGTCCTCCAACATGAGAAAATTTCTTTATACCATAGAGAAAACTCTCTCAACTAAGCCTCCTCAAGATCAAGTCAAAGCTTATACAAGCATGGATCAAACATAGAGATGATGCAATCACCGCTCAAAGTATCATGCTTGTTTTTATGATGTTGGAGAATAGGCGCCAACATAAGGGCACACGAGCCTTTGATATCATAGAGAAACTTAAAAACTTGTTTGAGGAGAATACTAGGCATGAGCGTTATGAGATAATGAGAAAACTCTTTAGAGCTAGAATGGATGAAGGATCTAATATCGAAAAGCATGTCACCGAAATAATAAGTTATATTGGCGGATCGATCAAGCTTGAAGTTAGAATGCATGTTGAATTATCCATTGACCTAGTATTGTAATTGTTTCCCAATAGCTTTAAACAGTTCATCATGAACTTCAATATGATGTATATGAAAAAGACTTTTAGAGAGTTATTATCCATGCTCGTGGAAGCTCGATCCGAAATTAACAAGAAGAACAAGAGTTCCGTACTTCTCGTTAACAAGGGAAAGCGTGAAGTAAAAGTCAAGGAAAAGCCCAAGAAGGAGAAGTTTTCAACTACGCCTACTGGAGGAGTGAAAAAGCTTAAGGCTCGAATAACCCAAAAGATGCAGCCTACTTTCATTGCAATAAGAAAGGGCATTGGAAGCGCAATTGCAAGGAGCACCTAGAAGGGGTGCAAAAGAAGAATGCTACCACCACCATTGGTTTTATATTATTAAAGCTAATCGTTTTATTTCTAATTTCACCTCATGAGTATATGATACTAGATGTGGTGCTCATAGTTTTAAAATGTATAGGAGCTTAGAAAAGCAAAGAACATAGCTTCGAGGAGATGACCTATACGACTACAATGGATAAAGAGTTGGACCATTAGATATAGGTATTTATGAGCTAGCATTACTATGTATGAATGTACTAAGACTCAATTATTATTATTAGTAGAGACTAAAAATGTTATTTTAATTTCTTATTTTGAACAAGTATTTCATTTTTAAGAATAATGGTTATTTTTAAAGATGAGTTTTTATGAAAATATCATGATAATAATTATACGTTTTGAACATATCTAAAATAAATACTAAAAGACTCAAATGATATAAATAACATAAAATTGTAGCAACTCAACATAGCCATATAAACGTGAATCTCATATCCAATTTACTCATAAATGAATATCTAAAATCATTTGATGATATCTAAGGAATCTTGTGTACTTGGAAAAGAGACATGAATCCCCTTTGAGTAGAAAATAAGAAAGAGCTATTAATAAGGCCTTACACATAGATATGTATGAAGCCCATGTTTACCTAAGCAAGAGGAGAACATGCTTACCATATAACCTTTAATGATAGTAAATCATGTTTTGGTTATAAGACACAAGTCCAAGGCATTTGAAAGGTTCAAAAGTTTAGACTTAAAAGTCATGTGACAAACTAGTAAAAGTTTTAAGGCATCTCAATTCGATTGACTTAATGAATGCTTAATTGCTAAAATTTTAAATCACCTAAAAGAGAATGAGATTCTCTATAGACATCACAAGTAATACATGATCCAATCTATCCCGAGTTTAATTAAAATTCCCATTTTATTTTGGGATAAACACTCCATGCCGCAACCTTTACATTGGATAGGGTTTTAATTAAATCTATTTAAATATACCTCATATGAGATATGGAAAAGAAAGAAAATGAATTTATCTTTCCTTAAGATTTGAGGCATTGTAAAACATATGTCAAAAATTTTGACAAAGACAAACTAAAGCCTAAATCAAAGAAGTGCTAATTTGTGAGATATCCAAAGCAAAAAAAAAGGATGTCATTGTCGTACTACTAGAACAAAGTGTTATTTGTGACTAGGCATACTATATTTCTTGGGAAGGAATTTATGAATGCTACAAACGAGTAGGAGGAAATTTGAACTCAATAAGATTTAAGTAGACTCACAAATTGACACTTCACTAATGGATTCCCGAGTAGAATGGTTATAAAGTGTTGTAACTATCCCATAAATAAAAACACAAGAACTTCATACACTATAAAAAAAGAGGTAATTAGAAATGTATTATTCCATAGCTAATTGCTCCAAATTCGTTGCTAATTACCATTAGCAACGGACGACCTATCCGTAGCTATTTCTCTTATCGTTAATTTTTAATGAGGGAAAAATCCATTCCCTCGTTAAATTAATGACAAAAATTCTATCGCTAATATGTTGTTGTTTTTATCGTACAACGAGTAGTGGCTTCGTCGCTAATCTATCACTAAGACCTTCATTGAAAGCGATTGAATATCCATCATTAATATCCGTAGCTAACGAAGTCCTAACTATTCCATCGCTAAAATGAAAAAGGTAATTTATCGTTAATCCATCGTTATTCCGTCTCTAAAATGAAAAAGGTAATTTATTGCTAATCTGTCGCTATATTTTTTAAAAAATATTTTTTTCATTTTGTTTTGTTTTTATTTTTAATTTATTAATATTAATTTTAATAATTAATAATTAATATTAGATGTAATAGTTAACAATTAAAAGTAATAACATATAAATTGGAAAATGAATTAATATTAACAATAATGTTCGGTAGTACGTTCGGTAAAATAAAACAAAGTCACTAAATGTTTATTCTAATCCAACATCCTCCTTCCGGTACTGTGTGGAGGGCATGATAAAAGGATCGGGTAGAGGTTAAATGAGAGCCTATGTGGAAGGAACAGGAGGTCGCTAACCGGGTCGACGGATCAATAGGCTTCCCGATTGTCCGTGCCGACCTCATCACTAAGGATGTCATCGAGTCGTATTGCGATTTTAGACTATGTATAGTCATCTATCGCTCTAAGATCAAGCTTTAGAGCTCTCTTTTTTTTCACTTGCATCCCTTTCATCGCTTCCTTCATAACCTCGTAGTCCTTCCAAAGCTCTTCGTTAACCGGTCGATGGCATAGTATGATGTCACGGAAGAGGAGCCGCTACCACCTAAATAAGACTCGTAATGCACTAACTATGTGCCTATACCATAATACCTTTTCTTCTTCTCTTCGATATTCTTGTCAATTTCGGCTCCATGATTCCTATCGTCTCGTCGAGCCGCATCCGCCTCTTGGATGAGTTGTTTCACATGATCTTGCGTAATCAAAATAATGATATCATCATTATAGGATTAAAATAACTTTTAGATTATTTTTTCATATTAAATATTTAAAATTGGAAAACACTTATCATTGTTTCCCGAGAGTGCTTATCGATAAAAAAAAAACCATCTCCTCACTTATGAGTCATCTTAAAAACTAAGAAACACATTGATTCACAACACAATTTTACCTCTTTAAAAAATCCATTATAAAGAATGTGAGAAGAAAATTAAAATTTCCTAAGCATGTAATAAATAATAAGGAGTGTGCAATTTATGAAGCAACAGGCATGCTCTTTCATAAATATAGAGCCTCATGTATGCCTAAAAGGACCCACACTAGGACCATCGATCTTCAATAATCGATTCCACGATGCTTAATTTGACCAAGCCACATGATCGAGTCTTGCAAAATCTACTCGTCATGCATCCCGGACCTTCTAACTAATATAAATAGGTT